AAGTCCACTCATCTTAAAGTGGCCAAGTTTGGACAACACTGCTTTAAGATGATCGTCTTGAATTGGGTTTGCTAGCACCATATTTGCTGAGTAGGAACCTTGGCTGGGCCCAGAATCGAAGCCTGGCTAGTGTTTGGATAGGAGATCTGCAAGAAATCCCAGGGCTATAGACTCGACCAGGAGGTTGAAAGACGTTCCAGAAAAGGCAATGAAAAGCCACGTTGGTGCTATTGCCAGGAAAGCTACATAAAATCACCACAAATCAAGCTTAATTGAAAAGAGTCTCTATCTGCTTTGTAACGGCATCTGGGTTTTTGGGTAACCTTTTATTTAAAAGATGGAGGTGTGAAAGAGGCAATGGAGCTTGCTTGTTTTATCACCAAAAGTCACCAGTGCAGCCTTGCAAATCACAGTTTTCCAACAGGCCATGGAAAAACATGAAAGGCAAGCATTGGGGATTGCCTTTGACAGGCTTGGGAATCTCAGGGAAATGGAGATGGCTGAGATGGCTGCATGGTTTGTAACACCAAAGATCCTTTCCTTTGGTCTTTTTAAAAAAATAATATTGATGTTTTTATTGTAGAGTGTTTTAATGTTTGCCTTTTTATCGTACGTCACCCAAAGTTACATTTGTGAGATGGGTGGCTATATAAATGTGAGGAATAAATGAATAAATACATGTATTTAATTCAATTTAGCCAACTGGCTCCTGGGTGTTTTATAATATAATACCATAAAAATCAATATAAACCAAAACCAAGATGGGATCCGGGCATGATATACAGACAAATACACAGCAGACACACCAGACAAGGCCCCAACCACTCTCCCAACCAAGGCTTGGGAGAACAACTTCAAGACTTTATGGAAGGCCAACCCAGGGGAGTCACATAGATTTCAGGGGGAAATAGGCAGTCCCTCAATGTGTGATGTGCTTAGGTGTGCTTTGCACATCAATAAAACATTCCTCCCTGGCTCCATTCTCAGAACATGTTCAATGGTTTGGTTTCGGCTTAGCATGTCGTATGAATCCAGCCAATGTGGTCTGCAAGCTGGTTTAGTGTGTTTTGCAAATCTGTCCAACAGTGTCTTACTCCGTAAACCATGGCTCCATGTGATGGACCTTGCTGCAACTGAGTGTGCAGCTATGCAGACCACGGTGGGGCATTTCTGCAGGGTTTCAGCCACGCGCTTCCCTCATGCGGAAGTGAACAGTCACAAGACAATGGGGGCACTGAAGAGTTTTGCAGAGGCGGCACCGCGCCATAAAACACTGGAAAGATAAACTGAAGAGGGAACAAGAACAGGTTCCAAAGGCACCCATTCCAGTTCAAAATGCATTGTAGATCACCAGGACTGTCTGCATCCAAAGAGAAGTTTGGAGGGAGAGAATCTTGGAATGATTCCCAATTCAGAGGAACAGGAGCAATAAAGGAATCAATGGCCAGGTAGAAAAAGAAGAGCCTCCAGGAAGAAAGGACCAATGCGCAAGAAGGCAATTTCCACTTGCGACACTAGATGGTGACCAAGGGTAAAAACACAGCCAGGCCTTTTTTCTCAGGAACACAAATTTGGCCTGGGGCTTCTGCCACCTCTTTAAGCTTTGGTGGTGGTTCTTCAAAACGGCCTAAGCTGGAAATTAGAAATGTGTATGTAGCACAGATTGAGACCTGCCGATGATGATGATGATGATGATGATGATGATGATGATGATGATGATGATGATGA